AATTAAAAAAAACCCAAGACTTCCTTGGCAGTCTAGTTGTTAAGACTACGTACTTCCAATGCAGGAGGATGCAGGGTTCAATCCCTGGTTGGGAAATTAAGCTCCGTTCTGCCACCGGTGTGGAAAAACAACAACAACAGACTATATAAGTGCTGTAAAGAGGGCTAAAAAATGGGAAATAGAAACATTTCTTCTAAATAAAAAATACAGGTTTTTACCTGTATAGCAATAATAAAGTAATGAAAAAATAAATGTTACCTTCACCAGGAAAGAATTTCAGAAGATAAAATGGAAAACAGTATGGTGCTGGTACAAAGACAGATGTACACATACAGTGTCACACAGTCTCTGATAAGGATGTGAAGGCTGCACAATGGGGACAGGGTAATGTCTTCAACAAATGGTGCTGGGAAAACCGGATACCCATAAACAACAGAAAAAAGATGGACCTCCACCTCACATGTTACATACAAATATCAGCTCCAAATAGATTAAAGACCTAACCACAGGACATGAAACCGTCAACCTTCTAGAAGAAAACAGAGGAAGAACATGATGTTGGAATGCAGATGATTTGTTGAATATGACAGCAAAAGAGAAAACAGACAATAACAGGACTGTAACAAACTTAAGACCCTCCGTGAAGCAAAGGAAACCGTTAAGAGAGTGAAAAACGCAACGTACAAACAAAATGAGAGAAAGTATCTGCAAATCATGGACTTCTCTTGTGGCTCAGAGGTGAAAGAGTCCGCCTGCAATGCAGGAGATGCGGGTTCGAACCCTGGGTCGGGAAGATCCCCTTGGGGAGGGAACGTCAACCTGCTCCAGGGCTCTTGCCTGGAGAATCCCATGACAGAGGAGCCTGGGGCGCTGCAGTCCGTTGGGTCGCAACAAGTCGGACACGACTAAGCGAGTAAAGAGCAACAACAACAAGCCCGCAAATCTCCAGAACAGGCAGGGAACGGGCAAGTCTCAGCAATGACAAAACCACCCGATTCAGAAACTGACAAAGCAGCCGGAGAGACTTTTCTGCAGAGGCCCAGAGAGGACCCAGCACAGCTGACGGGCTGCGCCACATCACCGACCACCAGGGGCTGGAGGCCCCCGCGAGGCAGCGCCTCACAGCACGGTCAGGACGGCCGCCCGTGGGGTCGCTGCGGGGCCTCTCCCGACCCTCCCGCACCTGCCCCCTCCCAGGACCGCCCAGCGGACTGCGGACGGCACAGGCGCCGAGGCTGTGCGCACGGTGGGCCTGGTAGGGGCACGGCCCCCACTCCTGGGTCTTGCGCAGGAACCGGCCGCGCTGAGACCTGCAGAGCCGGGGCCGCACCATCACCCCCAACCCCGAACCGCAAGGCCTGGGTCCTGCGAGCGCCCGGGCGGGACGGAGCCGGGGAGGGGCGGGGCCGTGGGCACGTCGACCGCGGGGGCGGAGCCTGGAAGGGGCAGGGCCACGTGCACGTCGGTCGAGCGGGGAGGGGGTCGGGGGCGGGGCCACGGGCACGTCGGCCGCGCGGGGCGGGGCCGTGGCGCGACGTGACGCGCAGTGGCCGCGGCGGTGCGGGCTGGAGGCTCCGGCCGGCGGGCGGGGCGGCCCGAGGGAGCAGGGCCCGCCGCCCCGGGCAGGCCGGCACCCCGCGCGCGCGGCCGCCGCGGCCCCATGCTGCTGCCTCTGGCCTGTCTGCACGGCCGAGTGGCGCAGTGCCTCACCGCGCTCCTGGTGCTCGCAGAGCCGCCCCCGAGGCCCCGGCGCGGCGCGAGGGCGCACGGCGCGCCGCCCCCGCGCGCGGAGGCCTCCCTGTCCGCGAAGATGGCCGCGGAGCTCTACGCGCCCGCCAGCGCCGCGGCCACGGCCGCCGCCACCGCCACGGACATCGCCAACAGCAACGCCGCCGCCGCCGCCGCGGGCAGGAAGGGTCGGCCTAGCGCCCCGCTGCCCGCGCCGCCGCCGCCCGCGCCCGCGCCGCCGCCGCCCGACAACAACAACCCGGAGAGCCCCAACTGGCAGTCCTTCCACCCGACCCTGCGCGAGAGGTGAGCCCGGGCCCGCCCGCCCCGCCCCGCCCGCGCGGCCCGAGCCCGAGTGTCCTGTGCCTCTGCCCTTTGCAGGAACGCGCTGATGTTCAACAACGAGCTCATGGCCGACGTGCACTTCGTCGTGGGGCCCCCGGGCGCGGCCCGGAGGGTGCCTGCCCACAAGGTTGGTAGAGGCTCGGCCCTGTGCGTTCCCAAAGGCGACGGGCCGCCTCCCGAGAATGGACGGTCCTCTTCTGGGTGTGGCAGCCGCTGGGGGCAGGGAGGCCCAGGACTCAGGGCCGCACTCTCTCTCGTTCACAGTATGTCTTGGCCGTGGGCAGCTCTGTCTTCTATGCCATGTTTTACGGGGATCTGGCGGAAGTCAAGTCAGAAATTCACATTCCCGATGTGGAACCTGCAGCTTTTCTGATCTTGTTGAAGTAAGTCTGCCTCCTGAGGGTGGGAGGATGGGGCGGTTCCTTGCTGTCTGGTTCTTCCAGCCAGCCGCCTGGAGCGTCCTCAAAGTGCACAGGGACGGATGGGGCCCCTCTGCCGGGTGCTGGGTGCCCGGGGTGCCTCTTGCTGCCCATGACTTGGTCCCCGCCCTGCCTAGGTACATGTACAGTGACGAGATTGACCTGGAAGCCGACACGGTGCTGGCTACCCTCTATGCTGCCAAGAAGTACATTGTCCCTGCCTTAGCAAAAGCCTGTGTCAACTTTCTGGAGACAAGTCTGGAAGCCAAAAATGCCTGTGTCCTGCTGTCACAGAGCCGACTGTTTGAGGAGCCTGAGCTGACCCAGCGCTGCTGGGAGGTCATCGACGCGCAGGCTGAGATGGCCCTGAGGTCCGAAGGCTTCTGTGAGATTGACTGGCAGACGCTGGAGATCATCGTCACGCGGGAGGCCCTCAACACCAAGGAGGCTGTGGTTTTCGAGGCGGTCCTGAGCTGGGCGGAGGCCGAGTGCAAGAGGCAGGGCCTGCCCGTCACCCCTCGCAACAAGAGGCACGTGCTGGGGCCAGCCCTCTACCTGGTCCGGATTCCAACCATGACCCTGGAGGAGTTTGCCAACGGCGCCGCGCAGTCAGACATCCTGACGCTGGAGGAGACCCACAACATCTTCCTGTGGTACACAGCAGCCAACAAGCCCCTCCTCGAGTTCCCCCTGACCAAGAGGAAGGGCCTCGCGCCCCAGAGGTGCCACCGCTTCCAGTCCTCTGCCTACCGCAGCAACCAGTGGCGCTACCGCGGGCGCTGCGACAGCATCCAGTTTGCCGTGGACAGGAGAGTCTTCGTCGCCGGGCTGGGCCTGTACGGCTCGAGCTCTGGGAAAGCAGAGTACAGTGTGAAGATCGAACTCAAGCGGCTGGGGGTGGTCCTGGCGCAGAACTTGACCAAGTTTGTCTCTGACGGCTCCAGCAACACCTTCTCAGTCTGGTTTGAACACCCCGTGCAGGTGGAGCAGGACACCTTCTACACGGCCAGTGCCGTCCTGGACGGCAGCGAGCTCAGCTACTTTGGGCAGGAGGGCATGACGGAGGTGCAGTGTGGCAAGGTGACCTTCCAGTTCCAGTGCTCCTCTGACAGCACCAACGGGACTGGGGTCCAGGGCGGGCAGATCCCTGAGCTCATCTTCTACGCCTGAGGTGCCTGGGGGCCGGCCGTGCTAAGGCCAGCCCGGGACTGGGAGTGCTTGGAGGCAGGGAGCGCTCTGCTCCGGTCGGGCCGCGTTTGCAGCCTGTCTCCTGTGTGCAGTCAGCCCGGGCCTGGGGTGTGACGCGGACGCTTCCCTCCCCAGCCAGAGCCCTGGTCTCTGAGCCGTGGCTGCTGGGCCGGCCTCACAGGCATCTCCTGTACAGTGGGGTGTGCATCAGGTGGAGGGCGGGTTTGGGGGTGCAAGGCAGGCCCCAGGTTCCCCCCAGTGTCGCCTCCCACCTGCTTTGAGGGTTCTGCCCTCTCCCTTGTCCTCTTGGATTCTATTCTAAGTGGTTCTAAGCTTAAGACCTCTTCAAAACCAAAATGGGAAGTTACTTCAAGTAGTTCACCTATTTAAGTGGATTTTCATAATAAAGTTTTAACAAAATGAGAGCCACACACAGGTGAATGACTGCGAGTCTCACGGGCCTGACAGCCCTAACAGGTCAGCGGGCAGTCCCATGGGCCCACCTGCCCAGGGTGTGCCCTCTGCCGGCAGCCGGGCCTCCACCCAGGAGGGCTTGCTTTCTGGACTGCAGCCAGACTGCCCTGGAGAAAGGCGTCGGGTCGTGTCTACCTTCCAAACTGTCACTCGCCGCTCAGAGTCATCCCGTCCGGCTCCAATGTGGAGGGGGATTCTCTGCAGGGCTTGGGGCTCCAGCCCCCGAGAGCAGACCTACTACCTCAGGCTCACGGGCAGCCTGCACAGGCACGCTGTGGGCTCGGGCAGGCCCCTCGGGCCTCTTGCCTCTGCTCCCATGCTACAAACTCCCGACCAGTTGCTTTGTCCCTGGAAAACCTCAGCTTGACCCCAGAGGGATGTGCCATGTCCCTCAGCACAAGGATATAGCCCCGTCAGAGGACGACGCCCTGACCTAGTGCATCTCTGCCCCCACCACCCTCACCCCCTGGCCCCAGGGGACCATCCTGTGGCGGAGGGGGATGGGGCAGGACTACAGCCCCTGCCCACCCTCCCTGACTCCACATGCTGCCTCCTTAGTACAAGAAAATGTGCTTCTAGACACCTATGGCGACGGAGCAGCCTCTCCGGCCGACAGTGAAAGCGGTCCCCGTGGTGAAGCTCCCATGGAGGCCCACCATGATGGAAAGGCTGGCTCCATCTGCGGGGGCCTTGCCGGCCCCAAGGCCCCTGTTACCGCGGTCCCGCTCGCACCTGCCGGGGACTGACCACAGCATTCTTTCACGGGAGGCGGCTTCCAGACGCCAGTGCCCCGCTGCGGGTCCTCATCCCGCACGCTGCCCTCCCGCCCCACGGGCCCCACAGTACCTATGGCCGGTGCGTTGATGCAGAGCTCTCTCGCCAGGAGGAGGAACGTCTTGCCCAGCACGTAAACGTTCACCTGTCATGAAGAAACACAACTCAGGACAGCCCTTGGCAGCAGGAGAGTGTGTGCTCCTCGGTCACCTTTCGGAGCGGCCCTACTGCCCCCCACAACAGCCCGGGGCGCCCCCACCCCTCGTCCAGATGGCTTTTTAAGACTCACTGTCTCAGTGGCGGCTGACTTTGCTGAGAAGGAAAGCTGCCTGCAGGACAGCTGGCTCAGCAGAATCCTCCAGAGCCCGGGGTGCCTGGACAGCAGGGCCCAGGCCGCCCCTCCACCCCGCTCCCCGGGGCGTCCTTCTTGCATCCCTGCAGGCCAGCGTAGGTGTGGTGGTGGGTCTGCAGACCTGAGTGCCCTGCCTGCTCGCCCCTCGAGGGCCAAGCCCTGCCCAGGCCCACGCCGGGCGTCTCACCGTTCCAGCCTGAGGAGACAAAGCCCCATCTCTACCTGTCCACCCCAGCCCCCCACAGGATCCGGGCCTCGCGAAACACTGGCTCTGATCCCCTGCTCTGACTCCCCAGAGGGCCCCCTGCCCCGATCAAGCCTGGCCTGTGGGCCCCTTGGCCAGCCCCCAGGAGGATGCCAGGCACAGTGGCGAGGTGGCCGAGTGAGGGCCTGGCAGGCCTCCCATCACAGGGCCTGCGGACAGCACTCGGGGTGGGGGTGGGCACGGAATGGGGCACTGAGCCCCCCTTAGAGGCGATGGGGGTCCCCATGGGCACCAGTCGGGGCGAGACCCCCCTGCTCACCCCACTGGCAGCTACTCTCAGCCCTCGTCTGACCCCACCCTAAGGGCTGTGGCTCCCAGAGGGGCCTCAGGAGGGCACCCCGCCCGGGCCAGCCTCCAGCCTGCCGGTCGTCCCTCCGTCAGGTCCCCCAACACATCCCTGACGCTGCCCGCCCGTCACAGCCCCACACCCGGTCCCGCGGCCCGGGCAGATGACACCTGAGTGCTGCAGGAAAGGGTGCCCTGGACAACTTCAAGTGAAAATTTTTAAAAGGACATGCATGTAAAACATGTGGTGACTGTCAGAGATGCTCACTGCCATTAGTATTCTTTAGAAATCATGACACTGACACTTTGTCTGAGGGTCACCTCCGAGTCTGCAGCTGGCTGTGGGTGCCCCCGGGTCCGTCTCACTATGGGGGGGAGGGACAAAGGGACCTCCTCCCAGGATCCTCAGCACAGCAGCTGCCCCCGGCTCCTGCCAGCAGCCGTCAGCTGTGAGCTCAGCGCGGGAGGTGCTCACCTGGGCACGTGTGAGAGTGAGGATGGACCGAGTCCTGAGCCTTCCCGCACTTCCGCTAGGCGGATGGCCCTGGGCAATGGGAGCCCTCTGGGCAGGAGCTCCCTTGACGTGTGTGCACAAAACCCACAGTCAGGTGTAGACATCTGTCCTGTGCGTGCTGAGCCTGTCCCGGCCTCACGCCCTGGAAGGGCCGGGCTCATGACTGCCAGGTCACCACCCACCCTCCTGGTGCCCAGGCTGGGTTCCGCCCAGGACAAAGGGCCCGAGGCCCGCCCTCCCCCGGAGGTGTGTGAACTGTCTGTGTGGGTGCAGCCTGCATGCACGGGGTCCCGCTGGCCCTGACCCAGCCCCAGGGGAGGGGAGCTCTGCTCCGTCACCTCTCCACCCCAGCCCTGACTGTGTCCCGCTCCCCGAGGTGTGAAGCAGGAAGCACCGGAACACCTCCCTCTACCTTCCAAGCGGCGCCCAAGTACTTCTGGAATGCTGTCCTGAGGAATCGCCAGGAAGGAAACCCGCACGTGGACTTGCCCTGACCAAACACAGTATGTGGAGAACTGGATTTTCATGATCCCAGGGATTCTTTCCAGGGTGACCCCAGAAGGTTTCAGCAGGGCTGCTGAGAGATGCTGTTTATACATGCAGTCTCTGAGGTCAGTGCAGGTCTGTCTGCCCACCGTGGGTTGCTGAAGGCCCAGCCCTGGGCCAGCTTCCTTTGGGAGCGGGGATTCCTAGGCACTTTGCCTGCATCCTCACAATGGTCACATCTGCTTTCCCTGACATGGCATGACGTTAGTTTTCTTTCCAAAACCTGAGTAGAGAGCCCACCACCACCAAGCCCAAGCTCAGCCAGCGCCATAACCAGGACACGTTTAGACCACAGTGGCCCCGCCCTGGAGGTGGCCCCTCCCTATGAGCATCCCATCCACACTGGTGTCCCTCTTGGTGGTCTTACTATTACCATCAGTCATTTGGAAATGAGAGGAACCCAGAAAGCAAGTTTCTCTAAATAGGCTGCAGGTATTAACATAAGCTGTTACACTGTTTAAATGTATGCACGTGGGTCCATTTTGGTCTTTGAAGAACCTCCCTTGCCTTGGACGAAGGTCAGCTGGGTCTCTCCTGTGGCTCTACAACCAGCCCCAGGACACCGTCACCACCCTGTGTCCAGGGTCTCCCTACCCCTTCTGTTCACCAGTTTCCAAACCAAGGCCCGGGCCCTCCCCACTCTCCGCCTGTGGACCCTGCAAGCCGGGGCTCCGGGGTCGGGCGGGTGCGTCTACCTGGAGCAGGTCGCTGAGGTCGAGGAGCATGTCTGCACGGGAGTCAAGGAGTAACGACCAGGCCCACAGGCGCCGGCCACCGGGCGGCCTCCGGGAGGCAGCCCCTGGCTGCGGACCTGAGCTCCGCGTGGGGGCGCGGCGAGGGGAGGCGGGGGCTGGGCGGTGAGGCTCCACCACGCAGGGGGCGGGGCTGGGGGCGGGGCTGGGGGCGGGGCTGCAGCATGGGCCCCGGAGCACAGCCGCCTGTGCGGGCCAGCCCTGCATCTGCACGGGCCCTGCCCAGCCTGGCCCACAAGCGCGGGCACCCACTGCGCGCCTGCTGGGCACCAGGCAGGGGGGCAGACACACACACACACGGGACCCCGGGTGGCTGGCGGGCACTGCCACAGTCCTGGTCTCCAGGGGACAGCTGGGGGCACTCTGGCATTGGCCCTGTCCTCACTCTCAGTAGATGAGTAAGGAGTCATCAGAATACGTCCTGAGTGAGTCAAAACCTAGCCAGCCACACACAGAGAACTATATATAAAACATGGGCCTCTGAGAAAAGCAGCTTGTCAAATGAAGTGAAGTTAGTATTACTCATGCTGAGGCTTTGAGAAGTAGCTGAGAAAGGATCCGGTGACACTGAACCAGAGCCTGGACCGGGCATCCAGAGGGAAAGAGGGAAGGAAGCCCCGAAGCCATAGCCTCATTCCAGCAGGCGGCATGCTCTGAGCATGACCGCCAAGGTCCTTGAATAAAAGGCACCTTGTTTCACAGCCTCTGAAGACGGGCCCTTCATCAGGGAGTGCAGTGAGACAGATGAGACTGCAGAGCAGACCAACACTAGGGAGAACTTTGAAAACAAGTGAAATCACAAGAAGTGAAAGGACGGCCACAGTAGATACACGAGCAGGAATCAGTGACCCCAGAAAAAGCTAACACAGCCAAGAGACCAGGTGCTGTCAGGCTCCAACAGTATCACACCAAGGGAAGGACAGCGGGGGCCTGAAGTCGCCAAGGGCTGGGGCGCCGGGCGGGAGGGAGGGGAGGCTACATGCCTCCACCACGGCGGGCACACTCTCTCACTGGTCGCACCCAGGAGTGTGGCCACCAAGAGTAAGCCCTCAGGGCGGCTGTGGACGTCGGCTAACAGAAACGACCAATGTGTGTCTGCCCAACAGAGCTCCGTGCAAGCCGGTGACAGAGAAGCTCTGCGTGGGGTGGAGAACGTGGTGGTCAGCACAACTTCGTAGACCCAACGCTGCTCTTAAAATGAAGTCTGTTTTTGAAATGATACAGATAAAGTGAATGTCCCAAAAATGGGCAAAAAAGGTTTGAACAGGTGTGTCACAAAGAGAAGCAAAGAGCCCCCACAGGACTCAGAGTGGCCCCCACACCGACGGCGGGGACGGCGGCTCTGCAGGAGGGCCTTCCAGCTCTCAGGACAGCCAGCGGTTGAGCCCACCCCGACCACGCCCACGCCCCAAGGAGGGTGAAGTCACAGAACTTCAAGCACAAGAGTAAAGACGGGAAGCAGCAGGGACCACCACACACTCCAGAGATGGGCCTAGGGGAGACACACACATCTGCTTCCCAGGCAGGGCATTCCGGAACAAGTGAAATGAACCCATGGGGGTCCAGGGCAGCATGGGTGCCTCGGGGTGGGCTGCTGGTGCTGCCCTGCTCCCTGGAGGAGGAGCTGGTCACACAGACCTGTGTGCTCATCAGAACTCGTCCGAGGGCACGATTAAGACTGTGCATTTCATTTCATGCCGGTTTTGCCTTAAAAGGAAAGAAGAACCATAAACAAACGCTGGGATCTAGTCAGTTAATAATCCGCCCGCTGAGGGCTTGGGGGCAGCAGGCAGATGTCTGCACCGCCCTTTGAAAATGCCAAGAGCACAGGCTGAGGGACCAGCGGGCAGGAGCTGGCAGCGCAGACAAGCTGTGTGTGCAAGGAGCGGCCGGGGCTTCCCACTGCGTCAGCAACCCTCTCACCTTTCCCAGGTGTTTGAGAGCTTTCATGACAAAATGATGGGGGCAAGGGGAATGTGTGTATTTTAAAAAGGAAATTGGGATTCAACTTTTAACCAAGTTAAAATGAAATGGCATTTGCGGTCCTTGAACAGCGCGCCATCAGCACTAAAGAGCAGAAAAGGATGACTGCACAGCACCCACCCAGCCCCCAGGGCCCCGCCCCAGCCACCACGGGGCCCTGCTCAGTGAGCCCGACCCCCCGCAGCCGGCCACTAGAGCAGCAGCTCACGGCCACGCCCCGCCAAGGACAGAGGCCGCCGGACACCGCACCCCGGCGTCCTGCCACATCAGTTCTACCTGGTGGTGACGCCCGCCCTGCGGGAAGTCCAGAAGTCGCTCGGGAGAGGGCAGAGGGGCCAGCGGCGCGAGACACCAGCTGGCAGTGGGGGAGCGGGAAGCAGCAGTCTGCTTTGGCAACTTCACCTCCAGCCACAACGAAACGGAGAGCGGCTGTGCTATGGCGAGCAGGTCTGAAAGCCAGACAAAGCGCAAGCAGCTCTTGGAAGTCACAGGGGAGCCACTAGGAGCTGCACCCAAGGGCACAAGCCTAGAAATCTGGAAAGGCCAGGGGCCTGCCGGCGGCTCCAGCTCCAGCTCAGGGCACCAGCCGCCCCGAGGGCAGAAGGCCAAGGCCCAGGCTGCATCCTGGAGCTCACACAGCCTCACCAGGACTTCCAAGACAGCCAGCCTCAAGGGACCCAACTGTCAAGAAGTGGGCCCAATGCCATGCACACAGCACCCCCTCCCCCAGCCTAGTCAGCTCCTGCTCTGAATGGGCACGAGGGTGCATAGGCTTCATGCCGCGGCCAGCAGCAGTCAGCTCCCAGGGGCGAGAGCGGGCGGAGACCCCCGTGATGGCCCCGGCAGGTCCTGCCCTGGTCCTGCACCAAGCACCCCGAGACGCACAGCAAGGCCCAGACAGGCGGCCCTGGCTCTCTGCCTGCCAGGGCAGACGACAGCCCTTCTGGGTGAGAAATACCCACAGCTGCCACAAGTTTTCAAATACTTTCAGCAACTCTATAAAAACTTATTTCCCTGGTGACTCAGATGGTACAGAATCCACCTGCAATGCAAGAGACCTGCATTTGATCCCTGGGTTGGGAAGATCCTCTAGACAAGGGAATGGCTACCCACTCCAGTATTCTTGCCTGGAGAATGCCATGGGCAGAGGAGCCTGGCGGGCTACAGTCCACGGGGTCACAAAGAGTCAGACACGACTTAGCAACTAACACACACATAAGTATAACAGACAGAAGCAGACCTCCAAAACCAAAAGAAAACTCAGACAACAAAATCAGTTTCCTCAATGATCCCACTGTTAGAGTTACATTAAAGACATTCATATAACTCCAGACATGGAAGATCTTACCAAAGAATTGGAATCTAATAAAAAACAATCAATGAAGTTAGGAAGTTAGTACATTGGTTTAACATCCCGTGACACGCAGCAAAGGAAAGGATGAAAGACCTCAAGATATGTCATGGGGCAATATTCAGAGAGAGGAAAAGAAAAAGAAAAACATGGAGAATACAAAACACAACCTGAGATGTGCGGAAAGGGTTTAATGTTCATGTAACTGGAGTCCTCGCTCCTTGGAAGAAAAGCCATGACAAACCTAGGCAGCGTATTAAAAAGCAGAGACATCACTTTGCCAACAAGGTCTGTATGGTCAAAGCTATGGTTTTTCCAGTAGTCGTATATGGATGTGAGAGTTGGACTGTAAAGAAGGCTGAGCACTGTAGAATTGATGCTTTCAAACTGTGGAACTGTGGAGAAGATTCTTGAGAGTCTCTTGGACTGCAAGGAGATCAAACCAGTCAATCCTAGAGGAAATCAGTCCCGAATATTCATTGGAAGCATATCAGATACTGAAGCTGAAGCTCCAATACGTTGGCCACGTGATGCAAAGACAACTCATTGGAAAAAAGGCAGGAGGAGAAAAGGACGACAGAGGATGAGATGGTTGGATGGCATCACCGACTCAATGGGTATGAGTTTGAGCAAGCTCCAGTAGATGGTGATGGACAGGGAGGCCTGGCCTGCCGTAACCCACGGGGTCACAAAGAGTCGGACACGACTGAGTGACTGAACAACCACTGGAGTCCTAGAAAGGGGACAGGGTGAGAATGGGGGAGAATCTGTGCTTAAAAAGATACCTCCCAAGATTCTCCCCAAACAGACAAAAGCCACAAATTCCTGAGGCTGGACAAATACCAAAAAAACTACATCTAAGTACACCAGAGTCAAACCCTGAAACAAAGACAAAAGTGGCAGTGATACGAGACGATACCCATCAGACACCGACAGGAGGTCACGAAGCCCACCGCTGCCCTTTCTACTCATGGTAAATCTACTAATGGTAAAGCCACTGCCCCTGGCTTTACCGCACATGGGCAAGGGGACCTGAGTCCGCTTCAGTAATAGACAATTACATGCCGCTTGTAACCGACATACCTTAAACATAGCAAGGAATGAATTTTAAAGTATGGGAAAAGACAAACCATGCACATCCTCAGCAAAAGAAAGCGGGTTTAGTTAAACCAGCACCCAATACAGCAGAGCTTAAGGGGAGAAGTGGTGATGAAGATGGACACTTCATGATGTTCAGCATCATTCCCAGCAGGAAGACACAGGCTCCTGAATCTGTATCCTCTAAACACAGCATCAGAATACAATGGGGAACCAACGGGATAAAAGGAAGTCAGTCAGTCCTCATCTGCAGTAGGAGTTTCAAACTCTTCCTTTAGAACAAGGGGACAGAAAAACCAGCAAGGCTGATTTGAACACGACTAACCAACTTGACCCAACGGACATTTATAGACCGCTCCACCCAACAGGTGCAGAAGCCCATTCCTTTGAAGTGCCCGTGGCACGGCCACCAAAATAGATGGCGCGCTGAGCAGGAAGTCAGGTCTCAGACCCGGGGAGAGGGGACTCATCAGTGCCCGTCGTGTGACCGCATGGGGACCACACGAGCCTGATACAGAGAGCACCAGGAAACCCGCGGCTGTT